GCGAGCTCATGTCTTCATTTTGCTTGGCCAGAATCAGTTGGGCAATGGCGCGTGGACAGCAGCTGAAACTGTAGCTTTAGCTCAGACTCCACACCTAATGCACACGACATTTTGTGCCGGCATGTGGCATGTGGCATGTGGCATGCGGCATGCGGCATGTGCCACACACTGACAATGCCAGTCGCAGCTCTCGCTGCATGCGCGTCAACTTGTGTCAAAAACCAACCAAGTGCCATTTTGCGGTAGTTGTGGCAATGACCATGGTTAACATTAACAACAACAACAACAACGAGAGCAACAGCAACAGCTGCAGCAGCAACAGTTACAGCCAACGCACATTGGTTCTATCGCAACTTAATTATTGATGTACAAGAAAATCTGCTCTGACGGCCATATATATGCACGCAGCATCAATAAGCAACTCCACCCCTCTCTCTCTCTCTCTCTTTCTCTGTCATATAGACTGTCAGCTTTAGTAACTTATAAAATCGATACCTTTTTCTTACAATCGATCACTATCGATCTATAACGAATCTCGAATGCTTACTCATAGCTCTCAGATTAACAGAGAGCATATTAGTATATTTCTGTAATATAAAATTAGCCATGTAAAAATGGATAGTTTCATCATCTGGAATACCTGCAAGGGCTGAAGAACGTATATGCTATATATAGAATATGTTTATATTTTCTATGTCCGTCTTGCGTTGTTTGGAATCAGAGTGCAATGCCTTAAGCGGACCGCATTGCAGTGCAAATAGGTGGACGGATGCCCAGACTCGCAGTTTACAGTTTCCAGTTCACAGTGGCCGTATTCCGTAGTCCCTAGTCCGCGCCCTCGCTCCGCTCCCCACCTGAACTTTGTCGTGGTCGGTGGTCGGTGGGGAAAACGTGGCCACCCACGTGGCTGCTGCTGTTGCACTTGCTGCTGCTTCCCTCCGTCAACCCGTCAAGCGTTTTGATTGAAATGTGTTTGTTTGGCTGCGGCTTTGGTTGCTTTCCTGACACCTAGCCCTGCCCCCTCCACCAGTGGCATTCCATCGCTACGTACACATCAAAAACTCGCAAAATAAAAACACATCAACCGACAATAAATGCGAGAGGAAGCAGGAATTTTGTGCGAAACAAACGATGGAAAATCCAACATGTCCATGGCAACACCACCATAGCCCCCCGACCAACCCAAACCCGACACAACCCAACCCAACCCAACCTAACCAATCCACAGCTAAATGCGGCAGGCAATCGCTTTGGCATGAACACAATATGCCAACGGAACACGGATGGACATGGACACGAGCAGACCATGGTGGAGTAAGGGAGCGGAGAGGGAGAGAGCGAAGGCAGTGGGTAAATGCTCTGTGATGCTACGGCTGTAGTTGGCTTCTGACTCCGTTGGCCGACAGCTTTGTTGACGTTTTGAAGCTTTTTGAGTGGTGCATCCCCAAGCCAAGCAGCAACAGTAATTGCAGCATCCATACATATTTCTGGACCGTAGCTCGACAAAGAACAACAGTTTTCCTCTACCACAAACATTTTCAAATAACAGTGAAGTATGGCAAAGTATAACCATTTTCGGTAATATGCCTATCAATAACTTATCGATTATCTCAGCTGTTGAATTTTACGAGGATTTAAGCTGAAATTCTAAAATTTAAATCCCGCAGCTCTTAGTTGCTATCTGAATTTCTGAATTTGTATTAAAGATCTTTTCCCTCACTCCTTCATAGTATCTATCGATAATTTCTTTAACTTAACTTCTGTATAGCTGGTAATAGCTGAGTAAAAGTTATCGGCAGTAAAACTCAACTTCTGAGTTCTTTTTGAGCTTAGCAATTGATTGAACTCGTCCCATGGTGAACAAATCCCCTAAACTGCACTTTTCTATATAGATACAACATGGCTTTAATCGGTAAATGCATCAATTTATTTGAGCTTGAATGCGAGCTGCTTCAATTTCCCTCAGCTCAAACTAACTGCATATCGAGTGCTAATCAAATTAAAGCTACAAATGCTCTGCGAGTCCCCGAAGCATCTGTGAATTCAACAAATGTCGCTCTAGGCATGGTATTATCGAAAACCAAACCAAAACTGAGTGTATGTGTGTGTGTGTGTGTGTCGACAATTCTGTCCGCCAGGGGGCGTCTGCGTTCGCATTCACAACAAACTGCAAACAGCACACGGCGTCACAAGCTGTTTCGGTTAGTCTTTTCACTTTGGCTGTTTGGGGCTAAACCAAGTCATCAGTGGGCTACGCCCCCCTTCCCTCCGCCCTCCACCCACACCCCTCTTCCTCGTCGCCGCGAGCCACTCGCAGCAGCGCCCCTCTCGCCGGCATGTTTGGCAGTTCCCATCGTACGCCCCGTTGAGTTTTGGGCAACTTTCAGTGCAGAAAATTTGCTTGGCTTTCGTTTTAATTTATTTTATTGCGAAATGCATTTTCGGTTTTTGTGTTTTGTGTTTTGTGTTTTGCGCTGATTTCTTGGCCCCCAAACCCAAAATGTGTCGCGTTGACTTTCTGTCGGGCCAAAATGAAAACAAATTTAATTTAAGTGTCAGTTACGCTTTTCACGAGGTCGCAAACTCGCAAACTCGCAGTCGAGAACGTCGCAATGTCCGCATGGAGGGAGTTTCTTTCCACTGCTTCTGCTACTATTTCTCCTTCTGCTTCGTGTTGTTTTTCATTCCTCTTGCCGTGTTTTTTTTTCCTCTGCTTTCCTCTCTGTGCCGTTATTGTTGCTCTTGTTGCAAATTTAGTTGGTTATCATTGCGGTGGCCAAAACGACACGCAACACCATTATTTGCCACATACTGACAGCCGGCATTTCCGTCCTGTCCATGTCCGTATGCCCCCAGCTAGCTCAGCTAGCCCGAATTTCTAGTGCATATGGTCGAGTCGTTTTGGTCGCCCCGTTGTCCTTCAAGTGTTACTTGAAACAACTTGAACTAAACGGCTGAAAGCCATGCACTTGCACTCCACATGCTGCGACCCCTTCCACAGTTTTGGCTGCCACTTCACCTGCAGCCCAACCTCAACCTCAACCTCAACCTCAACAGTTCACTCTTCATTTTAGCTTTGGTTCGGGCTCTAGCTCGGGCTCTGACAAACTTTTGCCAATGCGAATACGTGTCGAAAGACTTTTAAGCGCACAAGGACACTTCACTCTGTGACCTGCCCATGTCCCTAACGGCAAACAAAAACAAAAAAACAAAAAAAAGACTTCTATATATGTGTTTATAAACTGTATGTCCATGGCCTTAAAGCTGACATTACGTGTCCTCGAATCGCTGGAGTTGACTTTAATGAGTTTGCAACACGGCTATAATGCCACAGCGGGCAGATAAGCAACACGCACCTGCTGCAACTGTCCAGCAAATTAGCTTAATAAAAAACTCGTTAAAAAGAGGAGAAGTTCCCCCCCCCCCCCTCATTAAGAGATAAGCTGAAGAATTTGTAATTGTAAATGATTGCAGATTCCGCAGTCAAACACCTGCTGTAATTGGCAGAGCCAGAGAGAGGGAGAGGGACCGATGAGAAAAAGTGAGACGGGGAGAAAGAGAGAGAGACAGGTTATGTTGCACTATCCCAAAAATTAATTAAAAAACTCTAATTTGATTTTTATAAATATTGATCAAATTAAGATCAGTGATAGTCTGGGTTAAACACTTGAAAGGGCTCTCAAGAGATCGTGAGAAAGGAAAGAAACGAAAAGTGAGCGAACTCCGCCTGAATTTAACTTTACTTAGGATCCGAACTTGGACTATTGGGAGCTTTAGATTTCGCCCTTTCACTGTGAGCTATAAAGAATACATCGAACATAATGACAGTATCAGATTATTAATCTTAGATTTTACATAACTACTTATTAGGTCTTAGTTACTGACTTATGTTAGCTGCAGAAGAGAAACTTGCAGAGCTGATCTCAGTTCAGCAGTAATCTTTCAGCTCTTACAATTGATTGCATGACAGATCGGAGGCAAATAGTTCATCTTTACTATATGATGGCATTATGACATACTGTAGTTTTGTTGATCAATGCAATTAACAGCTCAAAAATATATATATATATAATTGAGCATGCAGCAACAAGAGCTATGAGCTCATTGGCAGCCAAGATCAATGCAAGATCTTTGACTAAGAGCAGGTAAACGTTTTTGGTTATGCACACTGCGCTTCTCACAGATCTTTCTATATATTTATATATTTATATATTTAAAGTGGCAATTAGCAATTTCATAAGCGTAACATCCGCTGTTGATCGTTGAGCGTTGATCGTTGCTCGTTGACCATTGATCGGTTCCATGAGCTCACTCCGTAGGGCTGGGTAAACTGATCTCATTCTTGATCGTTGCATTTATTAATAGGCGCAGTGCTGCAGTGGCATCTGGCTGCTGCCTATGAAATGACGTATACGCAGCGTATTACCTGCTGCTTACAAATGAATGACGTCAACGGCTCGGAACTTGCATCTGGCGCGTGCGAATGTCGCGTCATTGCATGTGTCATCGATTGCTGTCTCTGTCTCTGTGTGTGTGTGCCAATCGGCGATTGCATCACGATCCCAGCTGCATCTATAGCGCCGCACGTCTGTCCTCTGTGTGTGTGAGCTACATATAGCCTACGTTCATCTGTTTTTGGCGGCAGCTGTGTGACTAATAGAATCAAATGTGCACCGAATGTGGGTCAGGCATGAATTTGCGTTTGCTTAGCGACGACGACGACGACGACGACGGCGACGATGGCGATGGCGACGGCGGCTTCTATTTTTGGCCAGTCGGCAGATACAAATTATAATATTTTTTTGCGCCGGTCGTAAAAATCGGCGACAGCATTGTGAATTAATCATATAGCTCGAGTGTGCCGCTGTGCCAGGCGAAGGCGAAATAAACCACACAGTTGAAGTTTGGCCCCAAAATCAATTGACATGATTTCTATAATGCCAACAGCAACAGCARCAACAACAACAACAACGACACAAACTACTGGCTGATATTTGGGGCGTGGTACGAATACGCAAAACGAATGCATCGATCAAACAGCTGTTGGGTTGGCCGGGGCAACAGTCGAGGACAAGAGCCGCCACTAACCTAAGCCAAGTTGAAAGACGAAGCGATGGCCAGAAATCAGTTCAGCCAAAGGCAGCAGCGAGCTAGGACGACAACTGGACTGGAAATCGGAAATCGGGAAAGGAGCACACGGCAAAGTAGAGAGGAAGAGGAAGAGGAAGCGGAATAGGAAAAGGAAATTCAAATATAAGCTCTGCAATTGACAATTAGAGACGAGCACTGAGATCCTGGCAAGATGTGCGACTGCGGCTGCTACTCGTACTGCTTGCACGACACGACGTCCTGCTACAGCCATTACCATTCCCATTCGCACTCGCACCACTGCTGTGCGGGCTATAAGTATCTGAAGTGCCTGTGTCGCTACTATCGCCACGTGCACTGCACCTGCTCCTGTTGGCGCCGAAAATGTTACCTGCTCTAAAGCCCAATCGAGACACATTTGACATTGACAGCCTGACAGGACGGAGGATGCGATGCGAGCGGGAGCAGCGAGGCAGCACCATTAAAAATCACAGCTCAAGCAATGCAACAACGACAGCAACAACAACAGCAAGAGAATCAAACAACAGAAACTAGCAAAAAATCAAATGATAAAGTCCTTTAAGTAGTTGCATAACACTTGGCTGCATCCTCGGAGGAGCTGCCAGCGTCTCTAATGGATGATTGGGGGTGCGATTGCGACGATAGCAACTAGCGTGCATACGGGTCGTATGTGCAACGTTTTCAGTTGACTGGGTGAGTGCGAGTGTGACTGAGATAGACAGAGAGAAAGGGTGAAAGAGAGAGAGAGCGCGCGCAGGGGAGCGAGAGAGATGGAGCGAGCGATGTGGCCAACTTGTTATGGAGCAACTGTTTTTGGTGCAGAGTATCACTTCGCGCAAACGGATTCCATTTAACTAACTCACCATGTATAATCAAACATACTAACTAGTTAATACATATAGCAAATGACACACATACACACACACACACACAGTTACACCAATAAGTTTTAGTGCATAAGTTTATCTTCCAAGCACGAGATAAATATTTGTTATCGATAAATGTTAGTTGTAGTTATTGATTCTATTGATCATCATCGTCTTGATGATAATTTGCCATATTTGTAACGATTCAAACAACAAATAAATAAAGTTCTATTCCAACACTAACACAAAACCATTTGAGAGTTGAACCTTAATAAGATAGACGAGACTATCGATGGGTCCATTCCTGTTGACAGGAATCAAGTTGAGGATGTGGAGTAAGAAACGTCAGCTAAGAGGATTGGACTAGGATAGATCAAGAATAGAAAATGCGCAGCCTGAGGTAACAATTATCTTCCAATTATCTCTCTTATGTTTATATTACCTATTGAGGCATCTCATTTACTCTCAATATTCGATTACGCTCTCCATTTAGAACTTCTATTCTTAGTCTCTGTCTGCCTGGCCAAAGAGGACTTCAAGGAATCATTTCAGTCAATATATAAATAAGTAATCAAAGGCTAATTATATAATAATAAAAGATCAATAAGTCCGCCAATATTACGATATTCATAATTCATAAATAATGAATTGAAAAGTTTATAAATATGAAGGCAACTGTGTGGGGGCGCTCATCAAACAGAATCCATCAGCTAGGCACAAACATAATCACAGTTCGCTGAGCTCCTTTTAGGCAACTCCAGCACGTTTTATAGCCCATATACATGGCCAGTTTATTAGGGTTAGATGCAAAAGGGCTTTAAAGGCTGGCTCACAATGGCTGTGGCTGTAGCTGTGGTTGTGGCAGATGCCATATGATAAATTCTTATGACTAAGCAAATTACTGCTGTTCAAATAGACACTTAATTTAGAAGGACTAAAGTATGTAATGAGCCAGGCCATAAGCATAATTCGTAATCATTGGATTCTTGGCTGAATTCAAGGACGCCAGCAGCAACAACAACAATAGCAGCAACGACTTCTTGTCAGCTTTGCCCAATTGGCCGTATGCAAATGGCAGGCAAAGCCGCCGTACTCAAAAATGCCTTGGCTGCCAAAAAAAAAAAAAAAAACGCGCTCCCCCAACAGCTGCCAAAATTCCACGTGGTGGGCGGCCATGGTGCGGTGGGCGTGTTCGAAATTGTCCAAAAACGAAAATGTTGTCATTTTGTGCATTGAATTACGTTTATTTGATGGCTGGCTGACGGGAGAGCGGGCGGGGCCATGCGACTCGCTGATTATCCGGCGTAACGACTGCGATTGCGACTGCCGCAGGGGAGATGGGCAAAATGCCTGCCCCACCCACACTCCCCATGATAGGTGTTCAGGTGTTCCGGCCGACAAACAAGGTGATTATGACACGACCTGCCCCTCGGACGCGTTAATGGACTTCAAATATGCTCCGCTCCATGCCAGAGGAGCGGAAAAAAGCAGCAGGAATTCGGAAAAGAAATGTTATTTAAATTTTACTTTGTGTGGGGCTGGGGTCCGAGCGGCCGCAGGACGTGACCGGCCAGGACTCTCAGCCGCGTGGCTCATGAATAGCTGATGGCGCTCGTTGTGGCGGCTAGAAATCAGCTTCAATATTGGTTTTTGATTATCGGCCCGGTGGGGGCGTCTCGGGCGTCTGCAAGTGTGGCAGTGTGGGCGTGGCAGGCATGTACTGCATATTATCTTGTGACATTTTAATTAACATTTTTTGCGCAGATTAAAATAAATTAATTCTGTGCAGTCTACATGCCTTCCGGTCTGCCCCTGACAGCACTCGCCCAGCCCCCACCCCACCCCCCACTCCATTGCCCTTTATCTATGCGATATACAAATTTTTACGGCTGACTAAATTTATATTGCGCATGCAAATCGTTTGCATAGCTGAAGCGGAAGCAACTGTTGCCGCTGCAGTTGCAACATTGTTGCCGCGGCCACCGCTGCGGCTGCTGCATAATTGTCTTCTGGCAGTCCACAGCAACAACAAAGACAACAAAAAAGTGCTGCACAAATTGTGAATGGTTTGGCCTTTATTTATTTATATTTTTAGTTCGTGCTTGCAGTGAATGGGGCGTGTCTTATGGTGACTGCCTGTGTGGTCCTCGGACCAGTTTATCGATAAAAGCAAAAAGCTAAACCCCGAAAAGCCGAAAAAACGAATAACGAAAAACGTGAAAACTCAACAACGATTTTGTAGTTAAAGTTTGAATGTTTTATGTGACAGGAGAAAGAGAAAGAGCAAGAGCATGTGCGCCAGAGCAGAGCAGCAGCTGTTGTGCATCCATATTTAGGATATATATAGAAAGAAGGAGTAAGAGTGAGCCAGACAGGAGTGCTTGACCTGAATATACCCTGGCTTGATCTCAGGATTAGGAATAACTCATTGGTGTATAATCAGCGTATACCCTAAATTCCCAGAGTCAACTCAAAGCGAGTTCACAGTTGAACAGCCTCTGCCATATATAATTTCTAGACCAGCTTATGGCTTACATATTTTGTAAAGTTCGCTTACATAATTGAGGAGTTGTTCCGTTTGTTGGGCTAGCCAAGAGTTATTTATGAAAGACTTCTGCAAACTCTCAATTAGCAATATCTCAAAGCCTTAAGTACTCGCCCCTTTGGCAATTATCATAAACAACATTCGCTCGAGAGAAATTTCAAAGAAAAAAGAAAACAAAAACTGAGGAGGAAATAAAGAAAAAGTAAGTAAACCCTTTCAAAAGGAAGCCGAATCCAGTGAAGCCGAAGCTGAAGCTCAATACAAATCAAATTAACAGAGGAGAACTGCTCCAGTGAGTTTTGTCCCCGCTGAACCTCTTGGGTCCCTCCCTCTATTTATCTAGCTGTCTAGCTGTCTGGCTGTCGGTCGGACAGCTCGTCCGATGTTTGCGTCAGTTAGTTCACACTGTTTGGCTGATCTATTAACAGCCGTTCGGCATGCACTCCACCGATGCACCGGCGCACCGGCGGAATCCCTGCTTTCGGCAGGGCGCTCATTATGTCTGCCCCATGCAACAATGTTGCAGTCGAGAAATGCTCAAGAGGCGGAGGAACAAACAACTTAAGCGCTTAACTTGAAGTTGAAGTTTTTATTTATTTTAAGTCTGCGGCTCCCCGCTTCCTGCCATTACGAGGGACGGGAGATGCGGGACGAGCCCGAAGACTTAATGATGCTCTTAAAGACCCTCTCACTCGCACTCGCACTCGCACTCGCACGCTCAACTCGCTGTGCAAATACATGTTGCAGGTCTATTTGCAACAGTTGGCAGTTCCTCCAGCCCCTCGAACGAGTCGTCAGCAGCCGCAAATTGCAAACGGAAAGTAGCTGAATAATCGCCGAGCCATTAGCCAAGAAATTGCAGTCAGGCAAGGACTATTGTGCTGCTCTCCATCTGACCAAGTTGTTCTCTTTCGCAGCATCTCTCTGTAATAGATGGAGGGAAGGAGAATGACGGTCTGCATGAGAGACTGAGCGGGAGAGAGAGAGACTGGGAGAATAATAACGAAAGATAGTTCAACTAGAGTGAATGACTGCGAAAGAGAGAGAATGAAATGAGAGCCTGTCAGAGAGTTCATCGTATGCAAAAGCTCTTGACATCAATTCGACATTGACGTAAGGAATTCTTGTACGTACTACGTAGCCAACACAGTAGAAAAGTGTGAAATAATACGAATATTTAACAGGCATTAGCTAACCATCTAGCGTTGAGCAAGCAATTTCTTTTAGCACTCAGAACCTTACAGACTTGGCCTCCATTTCCTGCCCCCGTTACTTGCTCCACTCTGCCTGCTGCCCATCTTTGGACTCTGAGCGCAGCTCAGTCTGCTCTTTATGTACATACATATATAAACATCTACATACATATATTTCTCATTTAGCTGTGCGCGCACTTGAAATGTGAAATATTTTTGCATAGCCACAGCAGCAACAGCAACAGCAACAGCAACAGCAGCAACGGCAACTGTTGCTGTTGTGGCATATATATTGCCAACTCACGCTCTCATTGAAATATCCCCACTCTCTATGTCCCTCTCTCTCTCTCTCTCTCTCTCTCTCTCTCTCTCTCTCTCTGACGATCTTCTTTCACTTTCTGCATACCGCCGCCGCTTTTGTTGTTGTTGCTGCTGCTGTTGCTGTAGCAGTTGCTGTTGCAATTGTCATTGTTGTTGTTAATGTGTCTGTGGCACGGCCTCGACAGTCTCGTCTGGGCGCATTATTAATGCAATTCATCCATTTCCATTGCTGCAGCGGTGTCTGCAACAATGTTGCAAATGTTGTGTACACAACAGCCAAACAACACACTTTGCCAGACACGACTGTTGCAGTTGTTGTTGATGATGATGTTGTTGTTGTTGTCGTTTTTGCTGTTGTTGTTGCGCTGTCAACATTTTTTGCCACTTTGTTATTTTTGCGCTTTTCAGTCACTTGGTCGCCTTCTGCTATCTCTCTCTCTCTCGCTCACTCTCCCCCCTCCCTCTCTCTCTCTCTCTTTCGCGCGGGTGCTGGCCCAGCCCTCGTCAACCCAGCCGCTCGTTTTCCACGTGTTGCCCCTTGAAACGTTGCCTGTCTTTGCATTTTACTCAGTTATTGTTTGTTTCTCTGGTTGATGTTGTTGTTGTTGCTGCTGCTGCTGCTGTTGTTGTTATTATATGGCAACAATTTTGGTTTTCAATTGCTGTTGACGCGCGTTCCCTCATTTTTTGCAATCAATAAGCAAAAAATTACGCATACGCCACGTGAAACGCGCTCAATCTGCAGACTGAAAACATTTGGTTTCTTTGCGAAAATTCAAGAGAGTATATTGGTTCTCGATTTGGTTTCTGTTTGCAACTCGCATGTCTGCCCTTTTGGGCGTGGCAAATCGTGGCAAACCATATCTGTTTCACTGAACTAGAAGACAATATTCTCTGATCTCGTCCCTCGTTCTCGTTTGTTGGTATTGTTGTTTATTTGTTTGTTTATTTATTTTGTTGCTTTTGTTGTCAGCTTTAATTTTTGGCAATGGCAACGACAGCGGCTAAATGAATCAGACAAGAAACGCAGAAAATTGCGAGTTTGACCTTCTGACCGCCCACGTAGCTGTTGTTAATAATGCTAATGATGCTAATGATAATGATGATGATGCTAATGATGCTTATGATAATCATGATGGTGATGATCACATTTGGTGACTGTCACGAATAGATGTTGTCAATTGGCCAGCAATTTGGCAGCTGTTATTGTTTTCGTTGCCCTTGTTATTGTTGGTTGGTTGTTTGTTGCGTACAGCGAAAGCGAGCGAAAGCAACAAAAATAACAACAAATGTGCAGATAAAAACAGAGACTGCGAAAAACAACACACACATACAGACACACACACGCATGTACACACCTCAAAGTGAACATGAAACTCGAGTGAAAACAGCAACAGCTACGTTCACTAACTGTGAACTAAATGCCACACGAAAAAACAACAACAAAACTGACAGAAACAACAACAAAAACAGCGTCGTTATGTGTGTCAAAGTAAAACGCAATTTATGGAATTTATTACGTGAGCTATTCGCAAATTTTTGCTAAATTTATTTTCTTGCACCAGCCACATAAGAGACAGTAAGTGGGCGTGGCTGCCAAGCAGAAATAAAAGGGAAATGCTAAAAAGAAAATTAAATAACTTGATAGTGAAAAATACTACTGTAACAAAAATACAAAAAAAAATTAATAAAACCCTTAATTTGATATTCAAGCATAAAAAAAAATGGTTGGAAATTAAACAAAGAAAAAACGCAAGAAAAAAACGATGTGGGTGAAAACCTTAACAATCATATGAAATGTGGAATTACGTAATTTACACGCGGACACTAATAAATTGTTGAAGTGATCGATATTTATCGATGGTGTGTACGACTTCATATGTTCAATTTCTTACCCTATTTATTATCCATGAGATTTGTGTCTGGGCTTTGTAAATTTTTTGTACTTATCAAAATTTATGTTATAGAAATTTAACAGAACCAAAATTATGTTTTTTTTGATAACTTTTATCACTTTACTATACCTATTTTCATCGAAGGTTACGGGTAAGCCATATCGATTGCAATAGTAGATGTGTTAGGATTGCCTGACTTATTGACACCCTGAGACCTRTCCGAAAAGAAATTTGTCTTCGCAGGAATCAACTCGAAGTCCGTCAATCACAACACGAAATCATAAAATAAAACAAGTATTTTGATTGATCT